CACGAAGACAGCCCTAAATCAACTGTACTCAATCGCACCATATGCTCACATGTGACTAGTATGACTCAACCGTCCTTTGTCGAGCTGGCATGATCATTGGGCTAACGTAGCCGTTTACACACAGTTTTCGCCGTGGTAAAGGTTTCCCTATAGTTTCATGAGATTCAGGTAATCTTGGAGAAATTTCCTTTGGATTGCTTCCAATGCGTAGTAAACGTTGTCGTTCGACAGCTTGGCGTTCCATAGTAAAAAATCACAGATAATTTAATTGCTTCTTGCGAAATCGCATTTATAATTTTTATTCGGTTTTGAAAAAAACCTTGTTTATACCGGTGTAAATTTAAATCCGACCTGTCCTCACACATGCATTCGGAGTTTCCAAACCACAAGCTGAATAGTTCCCCTTATGGATAATCAATCCGTTCTACACGCCAATAGAAGAGACTATATGGGTTCACAAACTTCAGCAGTGAATTTGAGTCATATTGTAGGCTATACAAGCAACATTAGTACATGCAGAAACAGGATGCCTTAGGAAAGGACATTTCACGGTCTCAAAGGGTGCGATGGCAAAATGCAAGAAGTGACAGTAAATGGTCGATTTGTAGAGGCCTCGCCTTTTTGTCGTAGTTTTCTTCGAACCGTTTGCGTAGAATGTCACGTGCCTAATTTGGTGTGATCGATATAAATAGCAAAACCACTTCGAAGGGTCCCATAATGCCATTAGCTCGGACAGATTTTCCTCGGGTGGCAGCCAGTAATTGGGAGGCCAAATTAATGTACGTCCTCCAGCCAGCTCGAAAAATCTTCAACATTGGGATCCTGAATTCGGATAAACTAAGAGAGAAACCGCCTTTCAAGGAAATGTTGGGCCGAAGAAGGATGTTGGGCTTGTTGATTTTAGGCAATCCATAGAACCCAGTCAATGTCACATCCGTTGGATTCATCTGTTGCCATTTCACTTGCAGTATCACAGTGCGGCGACTGAGTAGGTTCAGGAGTCCGGTTAGCTGACCGAGCATCGTTTTGGCTTGTGAAGAAGTCGTGGGCTAGTGAGACTGTTGATCCTAGTGGAGGGCTGCTGTCTTCCTGCTGTAATGGGCGCGGTTCGCCACGACAGTTGTTCTTTTCTAGTTGACTAGTAGCAATACCATATCACTTTCTAAATTAAATTCCTTCATTGCGTCCGTTTCCATGGGCGAATCGTAGCTAATTATAATAGTTTTCATACTTGAATCCGATATCAGTGGCGTTTGCAGATGATGCGTTCAAGTGAGAGAATTCGAAACGCAAGGCCAATAAACATCTTTTTCTGTTAACATCACTATCATCTTCTTTTTCCCCGGGTAGAAGCCATCTCGGAGAATTTTCGACATGGGGGTCCTAAATTCGGATAAACTGAAAGTAGGGCCGCTTTCAAAGCAACGATTGGCAGAAGGAGAATGTTGGGCTTGTTAATTTTAGGCAATCTAGAGAACTCAGTCAATGCCTCATCCGTTGGCTTCATCTGTTGTCATTCGACTAGCAGTATCACAGTTCAGGAGTCCGGTGAACTGACCGAGCATTCATTTGACTTCTGAACAAGGTGTGGGCTAGAGAGACTGTTGATCCTAGTGGAGGGCTTCTGCCTTCCCGTTGTTATTCACGCGGTTCATCACGACAGTTGTACTTCTCTAGTCAACTGGCAGCACTGCCATATCCTTGTCCAACCTTAATTCCATCATTTTTTCTTTTTTCATTGGCTAAATATTATTTGTGGACCAATTCGTCACTGGTATGAATATGGCTTCCTGACTCAAGGTGTGTTTAAACTCATCGGTTGGTAAACGCAGGTGGCAGTCACTGATCAGCACCCTTGTCATTTGCTTGCGAAAACGCTTCGTAACATTTATGTCCATCTTCACCCTCACTAGAGTTTTGTAAGTTACGAAGCATCCTCGTGGCGTTGAAACACTGTAATTTCAAGAGGCGTTGGCTTACTGTTTTTAAATAACTCAGAGTGAATAACGAGCTAGCCTGAAGGTCCTAATCGCAAATCATTTTTCACGTTACGAGGATATGCACGATGGCTACTGAATGTCCTCCGTGTTTGACGAGAAATTAAGCTCCCAATTCGAGCATAACTTGCAGACAGCAAATCAAACAGTTGCCCAAAATTCCGCATCTAGAAATTCGGAGGGGCGCGTACGACGGTTTTTCCGTCTGTCTGGAACTCAGATTTAGAATAAAAGGTATCATCCATTTGAGCAAACCCCAATGCGTTAAAAGTTACAAGAGGCTTCAACAGAACAGCGAGCCCCTGGCTCATTGATTGGGCGTTCGAATCAATGACTGAAGATCCTGAGGTCGAATCTCAGGTGGCCCATACCGGGGATTTGGTATGGCTGACTTATGACAATTAATGCGCTCGAAATGGTCATTCCAGTCTTCTTTGTCCTTGTCGGAAATGCATATATTTAAGCCGGGTTATGCGTCCAACTAACCGGTTTATCCTCTGTCAAGGAATGTACGACTGACAACATAAGCATTCCAAAGGACCGAGTTGGTCTAGTCAGTCAGTCAACAGCCGGACCGGGGGTGCATCGGTGTCCGGCAATTCTGTAACAGTTTCTTTCTGTAAAAAAAGAAGAGATCACTGACGTGACGTTTCGGATTCTCACTTGAACTCATTTTCAGGGGCGTTTGCAAATGATGCGTTCGAGTGGGACTTCGAAGCGTCAGACCAGTAAACATTTTCTCCCAGTGATCTTATCATTATCTTCTTTTTATGCTGAACTGCTTCCTGGAACTCACCTGTTCGCTTCCATCGGCAGTCTCTATCCATCCCTGAATTCTGAACGTGTCCGGCTGAACAGGTTGTGATTCGTTTGTTCTTTGTTCAATTTGTCAAACGCTCAGACTATTTCTTATTTATTTGGACCAAATTCTGTATGCTTGTTAGGGAAAAGGGCGATTATCCCACGACATCAGGTGACACAGATCTTGGATAAATGGAATAAAGCGCCAGGGAAGCAAACTCCGACTAAGGATACCCCAAGAATAGGTCAAGGCTCATCGGCCACCGGCATTCTGCAACTAGTTGTTTCTATAAAAAAAGAGCACATCACTAAAACAAGAAGTTTATTGGCCTGACTTTTCGTATTCTCACTTGAACCCATTATCATAGGCGTTTGCAGAATATGCGTTCTAGTGAAATTTCAAAAAATCAGGCCAATAAACTTCCTGTTCCAGTGATATCATTTATATCATCGTCGTCATCATCATCATCATCATCATCATCATCATCATCATCATCATCATCATCCTCCTCCTCTTCTTCTTATACTGACATGCTTCCTGCTACTCACCTAGTCGATTCCATCGGCGGTCTTCAGCCATCTCTGAATTTTGGAAGTGTCCGCCTCTACGGGGCCTGATTTGTTTACTTTCTGTTCAATTTGAATTGATCTGCTTATTTTCGTATCGTTAAACGTTCACAGCATTCTTTATTTATTTGAACAGAAGGACGTATGACCAAATTCAGTATGCTTGTTGGGTAAAAGAGCCATTATCACACGACATCAGGTGACACAAATCTTGGATAAATGGAATGAAGCGCTAGGAGAACAAACCCAGATGGAAACAGAGACTAAGGATACCTTAAGAGCAAGTCAAGGCTGCGCGGTTATGTAACTACAGACTGCATTTAGATGTTATTTGACTGCTAACAGTGTTAAATACGAGAGGACACTAGGAGTTTTCATACAGTATTAGGCCACCAGAGGTTGCCATCGAGCAACTCTCATAAATGTTTGATGCCTTTAAAAATTCAATTATGTTTCATGGAAAACATGCACAAGCATATTCATTTTATGCTCAGTTGGTAAAAAATATGTGTTCTTCCAACTTTATACTCAAAAAATGTTATAATTCGGTTTTTAAAAACTTTTTTAATTCCCGAATAACTTTGAATACGACTTGCGTTACACGCCTATTCAGGGATTCCAACCTACATGCCGTATATTTTCCGCGTATGAAAAACCATTCATGTCACTACAGCATTAAAAGGACACCGTATGGAATTCAAAACGTTTAGCAGGGGAATTGAGACATAGTGTTAGCTTTACAAGCCACACTGGCAAATACAGTGACATGACGTTTTAAAGAACGGCAATTTCACGGTTTGAAAAGACCTCACGATTAGGAACTTTCTAAAACCGAAGTAAACCCTTCCTTCGATGATAAATCTAGAAGGAGACGTAATTTTCTACCGAAGGCGCGAACTAATGAATGTTTTTGTTTATGTTTTCCATGGATGTTTAAGGACATCATATAATCAATGAGAAACATTGATGCTTTATATGCAGTCATTTTTTATAAAGTATCATTTTTGTATGCAGCCGGAAAGAAGTTTGTTTGAAATCCGGCATCTTGAGGCAAATGAAATATTATAGAACTGTGCTGCATGATTATTAATTTTAGAGCACTATTTAATTAATCTTTTCAAAACGAAAACGCATTTCGGAATTTCGGACAAAATATCATAAGTTAACCCACCGATCAGGGAATACAGCTATTAACAATGGTCGTCAGTTGGGCGTTACCTTAAATAAATGAATTGCTAATATTGTTTACGCATGTAACGGCATTCTGAAGGCTGACGACACCTGAAAAACAGCTTGACACCTCTTGGCTATACAACCGTAGACTGTTTTAGATGTTTTTTGGCTGAAAACGGTGTTGCGCTTGAGAAGCCACTAGGATTTTGACTGGGGGCGAGTAAATCATGATTCAAGTAGCTCCCGACTCACGCGGTTATCACCGCTTGCGGGAATTTCGGCCTTGTCGAATTTGAATGTGTGGCCGAATCTCGTCGAATGAGCCGCAACTTGAGAGTTGGCGTCATTTCTGCGCACCGCTGCAGCGTGTTCGACCATTCTTGATCGGAGCTGTCTTCCGGTTTCTCCGACGTAGTTGCGTTGTCCGCAACTGCACCAGATCCGATAAACGACTCCAGACGTTTATAGCCGTGGCAGCGGGTCTTTCGTTTTCATTACCAGACAGGTGATGGTTGCCTCCGGTCTGTGGGCAACGCCAACCCCAAGTGGTGCAAGGCGGCCGACAGCTACCGAGGCATTCTTGACATATGGAAGCACCCGCCAAGATTTGGTGTCCGTGCGTCTAGGCCTAACGTCACTTAAGCGGTTGACAAGGTTGCGCGGGTAGCCATTGGCTTTCGATACGCGTCGGAGGTATTTTAGTTCGGCAATCTTGTGTTCCGACTCAATGCAGTGCGTTTCGACACGCCCACAGAGCGTCCTTACACAACTGCGATTGTGGCTGATTGGGTGGTTTTTGTTGAAGTTCAGTGCTTGCATCTTATTTTTCGCTTTCCTAAACACTTTGGTCTTTAGTCCACCACAATCTATGCGGCAAACGAGGACATGCAGGAAGGCCAGCAGGTTTTCCTCTTTCTTTTTCATCGTGAACTGAATGTCCGGGAAGACGGAGTTGAGATGTTCTTTGAATGTCAGCACCTGATTCCGCTCGATGACGACGAAGGTGTCATCGACATATCGGGCCCAGAACTTGGGTCTGTGGTGTTGGAAGACCAGCGACTCTAACCGTTGCAGGACCGCCTCGGCGATGAATCCCGAAATCGGCGAACCCATTGGTGTGCACTTCACCTGTTCGTAGATTGTCCCGTCGAACGTGAAGTACGTCCTGAGACAGAGCTTTAGGAGCTGAAGGATTTGGGCGTGTTCAAGACGATTCTCCGTTTCATCGTATTTGCTTTGTAGTAGCAGCTCATTTGTCTCGATCGCCAGGTCCTGGGTAAAAGAAGTAAACAGGGATGTAGCATCAAAAGATACCATGACCTCATTTGGATGGAGGCTTACCCATTTGAGTTTCTCCAGGAATTGTGCTGACGAAGAGACCGTGGTGTCTGACTCAGCAATCAGGAACTGGAGACGCCGGAACAGCCACTTAGCCAGTCCATACGTTGGAGTCCCTTTGAACGACACGATGGGCCGGAGAGGAGCGCCGTCTTTGTGCACCTTAGGGAGGCCATAGAATAGGGCCAAAGTCGTATCTTAGGGTCTCGCCATGCGCCTGTCGGTCGTTGTTATTGTCCCTGAGTTCTCCAAGGCCAATAATGTAGCATTAATATCGCATGTCAGCGCTTTTAAAGGGTTCGTTGCACATGGTACATAGAACTATCGGTCCTCCAGTAAACCTTTGGCTTTTTTGAAGGTAGTCTGTCCTGTCCAGTACAACTGTGGCGCGTCCTTTGTCCGCTGGCACAATGACCAGGTACTTGCCGGCCTTGAGTTCTCTAAGCGCATCACGTTCGGCCTTGGAAAGCACTTCCTGCGGCCTGTGGGCCATCAGGAGAGAAGACACTTGGTGTCGGATGAGACTCTTAGTCTCCTCCGTTGCCTCCTTCTGATAAAGGATTACTCCCACTGCTGCAATCATGTTGACAGGTTTGGTGTCAGTCATGTTGAACGAAGCTTCGTACCTTAAAACCTGCATCTGATCCTTCGTCAGCTCCTTTGACGACAGATTGTGCACCAGTTTTTCCTTTCCGGGAGACGTTGGATTGTGCAGCTTTCGGAATTTGTTCTCCAGTGCTGCGTCGCGTATTATTCTCTATTCGCGGGATTATTCAGTCACCCTCTGCAGGAGCAGATTTGTACCGATCTAGCCCATGAACACACAGCATCTGGTCTTTTCTTGGTCAATCCTTTGACTGTAATTACGAAGTCTCGCGTGGCAATCTTGAAGGAGCACTCGAATCATCCTCCTGCCGTGCTGAAATACTGCTCGTCTCGATAAATCCGTGTTAACCGGTGGCTTGTATGAAACACATTTCAGTAACACATTATTGTCGAGACACCTATTCAGAAACCGGATCTGCGAATACGTAGAGGCCTCCCGAAGAACGAAAGTTTCCCATCGCCGGGCCGATCGGAGCGCATCGTGCCAAATACATGCCTTATTCGCTGGGCTTAAAAATACTGATGACTATGGGGTTTCCCTAATTACTGCCTTAACACCTGATTATTATAATTGTTCGTATTTACATTGGAAGTTCGGGAAGGACATTCTTATTTCCTTAACTTAATAACTTTCAAATAAGTTAAGGAAACGTATAACTAACTTGAAGTTTACTGATGGTTTTGCATAGATGTCAAAAACTGGAAGTTGATCTGCGTTGTGAATTCGGGAATAAATGCTGTCTAGCGATAAGCACACGACTTATTTTATTTGTATGGGAGTAAACACGATACATTTGTTTTTGCAGTAAGCGCATAGGCAGTAGCCGGAATTAATTAAAGATAAGCTGATAGGCCGTAGGCCGTAGGGATACCCCTGTTCAATTATTTTGCCGGTAATCACACTTTGGTTCCCTGGCTAGTTTTACGGTTTGATTTTCTCTTTAATTATCATCCAGGGTCGGAAGAAAGGAGAAAACCTATGAAAACAGTTTTAACTCCTTTCACCCATGCTAGCATGTCACTAGCATGACTCAACTGTCGTTTGGCGTTCTAACAAAATCAATGGGTTATATCAGCCCGCTTACACTCAGCTTTGGCTGCTACTAAACGCTATGTTGGAGGTTTCGCCATATTTTCGAGAAATTAAGGTAATCCGCGAAAAATTTCCTTTGGATTGCTTGCGAGTGCCAAACCCTTCGAACAACAAATCTGATCATGCGTCGTAAGCAATCGAACGAAAATTTGCCAAGGTTTATCTCCGGGGTTACACAACACAGATAATTGGATTACTTCACAATGTCGCATGGAGTATTCAGAGGTGTATTCAGAGAGCGTTGGTTTGCTCCCGATAAATCATCATTAAACTTAGTGTTTATATGCTATGGAAGTAAACTGAAATGTGTTGACAGTGGGAAAATCGAGAAAATTATATTCTTTCAGCATAAGGATTGCAGAAAATGAGAACAAGTCGAATAGTTGGTGTTATTCATTTTCACTATTTTTTACCATTTCCTGCTTCCCCCTTCATTGCGCACTCTTAAAATTAGCCCCATCTAAGCGACTTGTAATATGGCAGTTTTCTGCAATATTACTTTTTCAGTGGAAATTAATTATTTTTATGTTAGTATATATTAACCGATAAACCCAACTATGTCTTCTTTTTAAGAAAAGTCTTTTTTACAGCCGTAGCATTTTGGGGAACGCATTTTGGGCGGATTCCGCGTTATAGGGATTTTCTTGTGTTACCTCATGGCATTTCATGTGTTGGCTCAGCTACGGTATATTTAGTGTGCTACACACTTTTCAATGCATTCTCATAACATTTCATAAGTGTTGCTTGTGTATGAAGAGAACTTTCCTACCGCGAGTCTATTTTGGCGTTACTTAGCTACGGATATCCTTAAGCTGTTTGTGAATCCGCTTCGGTTTCCAGGGTTCTCCGTCGACTTGCCAAACGTGGGACTTTGTTTGTCAGGGTCGGTCAGCGGATGTAGCGCCTTTAGCCTTCTGTCTCTCTAAAGCACACTGAGCTGGGAATCATGTGATCACGAAACAGGCGCGTATCCGGTCTCGGGGTCAACCAATCACTGACGCGCACGATCAACTGACTAAGCTGAGGCTGACTTGCTCGCGCATCATGTTTATTCACTCACGCCGACGTCATCCCGACGTATAGCCACGCTAGTAGACCCGGTGCCCGAGGCGGGCCGGATCTGTGACCAATATTGTGCATATGTAGAGAATACAGCACTTCTTCCACTAGTGCCCTTCCCCTTTCCACCCTCTAAACAAAACTCTTTCACGACTAATGTGGCCATTGAGTACACTGACTACCTGGACACTACGTGGATTCTCAAACCGTGAGACCTAGTCGGCAACAATTAGGGATAAGTATGCATTTGTTTTAGATCCCTTGAGTGAATCCTTGTAGCTATTTTTATCTCTTAAATATGACATTTCTGTTTTATTGCCCTAATGGTTTCCCACCACTTTCATCTAGGAAACGACTGAAACTCGTCAATGTGTGAAAAAAGTAACATCGGATATCCAGCCAATGTTACTTCACCACCCTCGGCAGAACGCTTATAATCATACAGTGGAACCGTTTAGGCAAGAGGGGACGCATATATTAGTAATTAACGCAGGCCATACCCTGTGCTCTGCCTTTCCTTACAGAGGCAATCGGAGACGTAGTTAAGAACAGAAGCGGACAATAATACTGGCATACTTAAAACTTAAATACACACTTTCTTCGAGTATAAAATAAGAAGGCAATGTAATTATCTTTCAAACAAATAAAAAAGCATATCTTTTTGCATGTTTTCTGTAAAATATATTTGAATTTATAGAAACATCAAAAATCAATGGAAAAAATGCATGCTAATTAAGTATTTATCTTTAGTCCACTGTGCATTTTGCAGTAGGTCAGGCAAAAGTGTATTCGAAATCCGACTTTCAGGCAAGTCCGAAATTCTGTAGAATTATGCCGCATTACTGATCAGTATTGTAATCTGACCCAAGTAATCCTTCCTAATCGGAAACAAATTCCAGAATTCCGGCCAACAGTTCATGAGATCGGTCACGCACTGTAACTACGGATACATCAATTGAACAGTTTATGAATCCGCTTCGGACACCAGAGTTCTCAGTCGACTTGACAAACATGCGGGTTTGTTCTTCAGTGTCGCTCGGTGAATGTAGTGCCACAAGCCTTTCAACTCTAACAACCACACCGAGCCGGGAATCATATGATCACGATACGTGCGAGTATGCATCCTCTGCACCAGCCAATTACAGACATCTACAACCACGTAACAGCCACATGGGCAAACTCAGTGTCTGGCTACGGCCTGGGTCTGTGGTCAGTATTGGGCTACTGTGAGTAACAAACCACTTCTTCTACTGGTGTCTTTCCTCCTCGACCCTCTAAAACAACGCCTGTTCATGATTATTGCTGCGGTCTGAGTGCACTAACAACTTAGACGCTACCTGAACCCCGAAATGTGAGCCCTAGTCGACCACAATTGCGACCTACCCTGTATCTGCTTTTTCTCAGTTGATTAAACTCTCGCGACTTTTTTTTCCTGAATGTGACATTTCAGTTGTATTCGCCTAAAAGCTTCTAATTTCTTTCATCCTTCTCCGAGGTTAACTTTAGGAAAGAACTTCAACTTTTCAATATATGACGGAAACTGCGTCTACTATCAAGCCAAAACGCCTGCAACATCCACATTGAAATGCCTACGTCCATACTGTCAAACAGTCTGGATAAGAAGGAGTGCACATATTAGTAATGAACTCAGGCCATACCCTGCGGTTAGCTTTTCCTGAGAACAAACGAAGACCATAAGACTTTTATTGTTTTTCTTCAAAAAATGTCTTTCAAACGATGGAGAAAAACGAGATGACTGAGTAGGTGAATATTAGGACTCTACAGAAGTGGAGAGACACATCCCCGCTAAGGGAGACACGGAACACCCTTGGTGTAGACCGCCCTTCAACTGGCACCACCCTAACCAGGTCAGAGGTACTTGCGTTAAGTTTGAATGTGTATTCCAAATTTGTATTGTCCAGGTGTCCCGTCAGCAGGACAAAGGTGCGTCCTTTCGTTGCTTCCTCAACAACCAGTGTGCAAAACATTTGGCATATTATTATTGTTAAAATGGATTTTAATTATGAGTCTAATGCTGCAAGTTGTATGAAGCGATCTACAATTACAAATAAGCTTCTCACTCATTTGTTTTATTTGGAACCATGGAAACAGACATCAGCATGCGTTATTTACAATTTGCTCAGGAGTTTGGCACCGGTAGCTTTTCTATGCATAGGCGAATGGAATACCGAGTTGTTACCTAGTTGCCGTATTCCACTCTAAATTCCCGAAGATTATTAGGCGCTTCTGTTACATGTTGCGCTCAAAATATTCGGTTAGTTGCCGACCTCTGTGACTACAATTGCCCGAAGTAGAACGCGCACAATTTTATACACCGAATAGCCGGAAAGCACAATTCTTGCGGATCCTTGCAATGTGAAACACTTATACGAAAAATGACGTCTTTTTGTTGCATATAATTTCGTATGGTTTCAAGTTCCACTTACGGGAAGGTATATGCAACAAGTGTTTGCCGTCTGGCGGTCCTACGTCGTTAGATTTGTGCATATGTCCTCCAACAATTGTGTCCTGTAAAACCACGAGATATGCAAAATAAAGATTGTAAATATATAGCGAGCCACTGTCAATACCGCAATTATATGCTTAAAAAAGTCTTTACAAACCTTTACGTCCTCGTTATACAGAAGAATTATCCCACGTTCCGCTGTGGTGTTTATGTCAAGGTTTATGATCCTTCCAGCGACGACTGGCATGGGCGGAACTGCATAGATAGTAGTTTTGATGGATTTTAGTTTCAATTAAAATTATTAAACTTGAAATTTACTTCGTAGTTTCGATTTAGATGGAATGCCAGTAGGTTGGCCTAAGTTATTGAAAGAATGTTTGTGTTCCTTGGAATTTGATCTACAACGGCTGTGCCATCTCATCATTTATAAATTGAAAATCTGAAAGTCGTCCCCAGTTTGAGAAGATTCCTCGAGTGGACTTGTCAAATTAATTCCTGTGCCGCATATTTTTAGCATATTACTGTCACGTGTGGATAGCGCTTGTTGACAGAGCCTCTTATGGACAGTCTGCATAAACTACATTCCACAAAAATTACTACATATGTGGCATAATGCTTCTGTCAAAAAGTTGATGCCTTTGTAAGTTTAAATATACTTTTTTAGAAGGCATGCACAAAACATTTTCTCTTCTGCCAATTTATTAGAAAACACTGTCTCCTCAACATTCTCAACTCAAAAAACTGCGTATTCCGGCTTTAGAAAAGTTTAGAAATATTAGATTTATTATCATCGTGAAATTCAAAATCACACAACATCGTAAAACCAAGGACAACATAGTCGTCATTGACAGCCAACTATGTGCACTCTATATGAATTCGTCTTGACAATATCTAGAAATATATAATTTTCCTCAAGCGGAAACTATACAGCCTGCACTTTCGAAACTCAGAATGCAAATGAAATAGACAGGCCGCGTTCAAAATTATTCGGTAAACAGTAGTTCTTAAAAACCAAAAGATACTCTTTTTTGCACAAAATTAGAAGAACACGTACTTTCTCAATTGAGTGAAAGAATGATACTTTTATCCACGCATACTGCGAAGTATATGTTAATTTATGACAGCATGAAAAATCTGAGAAAATAGTGCAGGCTTCTCGCATAAGCATTTTTAACAGAATGCACCTTATGCAGACTGTAATTAAAAAAATTCTATCGGAAGCCGATATTCTGGCGTGACTGGAGTGACTACGGGATATGCGGCACGATAATTAATGTGACAACACTGCTTAAGTACTTTTTAAAATGAAAACGCATTTCAAATCGTCGGTAGTTATTTCATGAGACAGTTTATTCACTTCACGCACTGTGCAGCTGTGCAGCAGCTTACAGTGCAACAGGCGTGGCACAAAAATGCAACGCTTTCACGGTATCAATCATTACTTAATATAACATTTTACTGTTGAAATGGTAATATTGTTGAAAATTCGCATAATTAATATGACGGCACCATTCTTAGTGTTTAAATTTGCAAATTATAAATATTAAAAACATACCCTGCAAATTTTCACCAATACGTCTCACAATGACTGCAGTGGGTAGTCTAATTCCGGCGGCTGGAATTAAAATAATTATGCCTGTCCCATTCTCTGGTCCGACCGAAAGATATGAAAACTGTTTGTCTAAATGAGAAGAACAGTACTCTGATAAATATTTAGCCCAACGTGGTGTGTTTTGCGCAAAGAACTGATTCAACGAGAAATCACATGTCCGACCTAAACTTTGGCAAGTCCCATCAGTATTTAGAAAACTCCAATGCCTGCATTAACAGGGACATACCAGTTAACGGTTGCCAACACGAGATTCCAACCTTACAAGGATTGGACAGGGAGCCCTCTGCAACAGTCTGACCCCCTACTGTAATTGACTATAATGAAAGAAGTATGTCATTGCATGTACAAGGAGGTCCTACGCTAAAAATGTCATTAGAGCTGGAACGCACCTGCGGTCTTTGTGCAAACGGTTCGAGATAGACAAATGACGAATTCGGCATTGTTTCAAAGTCCCCAGCTCCTAAAACATAGCTCGAAGTTCTTGCAATGAAGTTGAAACGTTATGTAATAATGCGATGTAGTAATTAAAACTTGAAGCTTATTTCAATGCTGCACATACCGAACACGGAGGTTATAAGAGCAAGGAGGATAGCGGCTCTGATCATTGGCACTAAAACGAACGTATGCATATATTGCATAAGGGCGAGTACTAATAAAGTTATAAGAATGCATGTTTAAGGGCTTCAATAGGCAAACAAATATAGGACCACATCTCACTTGATTTGAAATATAAGCTGTCTTGAAGTCTGTTGCATCTAACTGGCTTTATATATGCGGCAAAAGTCCAACATTAGGAACGCGCATCTCACGCGAGGGTTGAGTGCAGATTGCGCCATAATTGCCAGAAAGCGTGTTTTGAGTGGCTTCAAGTGAAATGCCGTGCACTTGTTTACCCCCTGAGTTCAGCTAAACCCCGAGGAAGATCAATTAGGGACAATTAACCTAGTATCCATCTGTTTAATACTTGACGCATTTTGGTTCCCGGAGTGAGCTTAGGGTGTCATAATTACTGTTGTATGCAGGATATCCGGATTCAGGAGACCCAACTTGAGACATGAAAGCAGTCCTTCATCGAACGCTCTGGTACGCGCTGTAAACTCAAATAAAGTTACCACGATTAAACGAACACTTACTGCCTTATTGCATTTTTAGGCCAGAGAAATCCCTGGTTTATGCGACTTTGGGGATTCTGTTAAGCTCTGCCCCAGAAGTGGATGATCTATGAGGAAACGCATGTTCAGTCAGCATTGTCTACATGACAAAATATAGACAAAGTGGGTGAAGAAAGGGTTAAGACGAAGCTTAATTTGGGCAAACTGCAGAATGCTGAAGGCATTTTCCAGATTTTTTTGTGTTATAGATTTTATAAATGCAACGCCTGCCCTTGTATGGCGATTACGACCATTTTGCTGCTGATAATAGATTTCGTTCCTTTGCCTTTATTCACCTAACCTGAGAAAAAATTTGGGTTCCGGTGTGCTGGACATCATTAACAAGAAGTGCAAGGATATCCTCGCCAAATTGACATTTGCGCTACTTTTAAGAATGGGGGGGGGGTCCAGGTTTCCCTGTGGACAGTTGCAGATTACCTTTTCAAACGTTACCTCCTTAACGTAGGAGAGGAAATTTACGGACACTTGATCGGAATTTGTAACTTCTATCCGTCCTTTCTGGCGTTTGCTCTTAAAAATTGCAAGGCATTTAGTCTCTTAAATGCTCAAAAAAGTCCGAGTAGGCCGCCAACTCAGCAGTTCATTCAGATTGTCTAATTTTGATTAATACGGAGACGTGGCTCCGTGAAAAAATGTTACCACTAATGATCAAGGATCCCGGCTTTTAGTCTGAGGTGACCCACACTTGAGGTCCGGTGTGGCTGGCTGAAGACGGCTTATAAACTAGAAATGTCCATTCAGTCCTCCCCTATCTCTCTTGGTATTCAATTATCAATGATCTTCCCTCTACGACGTATGTCTACTACTAGTCGCTGTGCGACTGCCTGCGAGGGTTCTAGTATGAGCCCCAAGGCACAACGGAACGAGCATGTTCCGTAAGCTGATCGGCGAGCGCCCACTTTCATAATATATATATATATATATATGAGCAGCAAGGAGGGACGACAGAGAATGCGGGTAGATTGATACAGCACTGTTTCGGGCTTATTCTGCCTTCATTCAGCCAATCATAACCCTGACCACCACCAGCTGAGACCAGAAACACAAACATGCTCACAGATACGCCTGCCACAGTTGATCCACCACTGCAGTCTGCCATATGGGTCGTTAGCGCTCCATCGAACCGAAGCTCACTAGTGCCTCGCCACCTGTGGGATTATTTGCTATTTGCCATTTCACATACTCTAGACGAAAAAAACACAATGTTCGGCGGAACGACTTCGGTCCGATGAGGGCAAACTTGCCCGGACTAGACTGGAGCTCAACGTTTACGCGTAATTCCAACGATGATAGGGAGTTGTTCAAGAATGGTCATCTGCAGCTCATCAACAACCACTGCCCACTGACAAGTGTAAGACAGGACAAACGACTTGGGTGGTTAAATGACAACCTAAAGGAATAAATTAACACGAAACACAAATTGTAGAGAAAATACTGCGTCACTAGGCAAGTTGAGTATTTCACCACTTATAAGACACAAAGAAACATGTTGAAAAGCATGCTTATGCAGACGCGCCGAGAGTTTGATTTCCATCCTCAATCCACAGAAGCACTGCCGACACAAAGCATCAGTGATATACTCCTCTCAGAAGTCATTGACTGAAGAGAATTAAAGGCATAACACGAATTGAAGTCGACAGAACCAGAGCCGATTCCACCTAAGCTTCTCAAGGAACTGGCCAGTGAGCTTTCTGTGCCCTTGACGATGCTCTTTCGAACGTCGTTTGACACTGGAACACTTCCTATCGACTGGAAGCTGGCGCATATTACTTCGCCATACAAAGGAGGTAGCAGGACATCGACGACAAATTATAGGCTCATACGCTTCGCATGTATTATTTGCAAAATTATGGACAGGACCATAAAGAGTGAACTAATGCATTTTCTGGAAGTTCGCGGCCTGCTTTCGAAATGAAAACATGGGTTCCGGGAAGGAAAATCTTGCACGACAAACCTGAAACAATCTTTGCATAGGTGGACTCTAGTTCTCGACGATAGGCACCCGGTCCACATAGCTTGTATTGACTTCCAGAAGGCGTTGGACACTGTGCCACGCCAGAGGCTGTTACACAAACTCAAAACATAGGAATCAGCGGTAACCTCCTCAAGTGGATCGAGACCTTGCTTGTGGGTCGACACCAGGCTGTGTGCATCTGTCAAGGGAAATTAGATCCAGCTGTCGTCGAGAGTGGTGTTCCTCAGGGCACAGTACTGGGACCCATTTTGTTCCTTTTATACGTGGACGATGCCGCAAGAGCTTTAGACTGCGAAGCAGCAACTTTTACCGATGACATGATGATATGGAGTGTAATTCGGGATCCTGCCGATGAAGACGGACTGCAGCAGAACGTAAATCGGTTGTAAGAGTGATCAAACCGATTGCTCATGCGGTTTAACGTTGGTAAGTGTAGCATAATTCGACTTGGTAACATAGCCAGATCCGCCAGCACAAGAGACTACTTTCTGGGCGGTGCAGCCTTAAAAAATGTCGAAGCTCAAAAGGACCCCGGTGTGCTGACAACGAGATCCCTATCTGCTCACTGTTCGAGGGTGACAAAGAACGCAATGTCCGTACCATCAAGCGTGCGTTTATGGATTTTTACAAAGACATTTTCTCTAAAGCTTTTGGAATATTCGTCTGGCCGCACTTGGATTACGGCCTGCAAGTTTGGAGACCGTGGGCGGTTGACGATCAAAACTGCGTCGAAAGGATTCAGAGGAGAGCCACGAAGATGTTTAGGAGTCAAAGCTCCTTTCCTTATGCAGCTCGCCTAGTAAATCTAACCCCCTTCCCTTTGAGTTACAGGCAACTTCGCGGGGATCTCTTGCAAGCATTCCGCATTGTAAAGGGGTTGGATTTCAGCCTGGCCTTCGAGGACTTTTTTGAATTTGCTACCACCTCTAACCTCCGAGGTCACGCGTTTAACCTGCGCATTCAAAAAGCATGGCTGCACGTGCAGAAATTCTCCTCCGTTTGAAAGGTCAAACCATTGAATGCCCCCCCAGCAGATGTTGTGATGCCACCATCTATGCAAAGCCTTCAAAAGAGCCTCGACCAATCCATGTTGCGAAATGGCCAAGAGCGATGAGAAGTCGCGCTCATCCCCTGTAACTTGCTCCCATTTTGTCATACCATTATGGGTTCGTTTGAACTATTTTAGCTCAGAAACGTTTCCTCTGCACCACACAATTTTGCGTTGAAATAGGGCGCTCGAGGACTTACGCCTATTTCCCTCAATAAGCTGAACTGAACCAAACTGTCGCTGTAGATCGGGTATTAATTCAAACAGGAATAGGCGCAGATCGATATGTTGACTTCCCAAGGCAAAAAATTCCGTGTGGGTGCAAAAGTCACGAACAGGCAATTAAGTACCAGTCTGATTTTGGTCGTTATCATCATATATGTATATAACAATGTCGGGAGTACGATAATTAAAGATTTACCATATGGAATTCATATTACTCTTAGTACTTCTTGTTTGTAGAAGGGGCATTACGTGGTTATTTCACAGTAGTTAATTGCCTTTGACTCGAATGTTCATTGAAATTTCGGATTTGATTCTATAAAGTCATGTCCCGGAGATTTAACTCAAAGTCCTTCACTGAGTAATTTCTGAAATTATTCACTTGATTATTCTCTGGAGTTCATATACCAAAAAAACCTAGAGAACGCTGGGGGTCCCACTGAAGAGCCGAACCCTTCGCAGCTGTGTCACGCAGCAGCAGAATATCGGCGAAACGCATGTCTGGGCTTTAAGCAAGTATCTAGGTCGGTAGTACCGTATAATACATTTAATATATATATATATATATATATATATACATATATGTCGAAGTCGAAAGTGTGCTTTGGGAAAGGAAGTTTACTGTGCAAATTTTCGATGCCGGTTTCCCGATTCGTCGTCAGGCACAGACGGAAAGCCTAAAAGTAAGTACCGATGAATGTTTCCTGTCCTTTTACGTCGTTGCCTTGTTTTCTTCCATACAACACGATTTGGCGATTGAATGCGTAGCCCAACGCCTACAGAACAATCCTATTGACATCCCAACGCACCACATTATTGAACTGCTAAATCTTTGCCTTAGGAACTATTGTCAATTTGATAATAGGTATTATCCACAGGTAAAGGGAACCCCGATGGGCTCACCAATATCAGCACTGCTCGCCGAACTAGTTTTGCAGCGACTAGAAGAGATAGTTTTCCAAACTATCAAGCCTAAACTATGGCTTCGTTACGTTGATGACACCTTTGTCATAATAAAGAAGTGCGAAGTCGAACGTCTTCACCAGAGACTGCATGACGTCTTCCTAGCCATACAATTAACCCGCGAAGAGGCAATTGGAGACAGCTTGCCGTTTCTGGACGTGAGAATACAGAAGTTGAGCGATGGTAGCCTGGCAACAAGCGTCCATAGGAAGCACTCTAACTCTGAGATTATCCTTAACTATGGAAGCAGCCACCCTGCAGCTCACAAGAGAAGCTGCGTACGAACTCTGTTCCAGCGGGCCTACCGTTATTGTAACAGCAACGATCTCCTGAACACAGAGCTTGCTCACCTGTATCGGTTATTCCGCTCTAACGGATATCTGAACAGTTTTTTAAAGAACTGTCTCAGACACCAGACACAGTCGCAAGACCCCACCCACAACGGAGAGAGTTTGACGCGAAAATTCTGCTCCTTGCCGTATATGCGTGGAACTTCTGAAATAATCGCCCGGCAGTTCAGCCGCTTGGTATTCACGTTGCCCACAAACCGGCATCTGCACTACGCGCAGCATTATCTCGAGTGAAGGATCCCATCCCCAAAGAGCAATAAACGAACGTTATTTATCGCATTCCGTGTGTTTATTGCTCTTGCGTGTATGTTGGCCATACAGGTCGATGCCTGGGCAACCGCATCAACGAACACAAACTAGCTATCCGTTGGCGAGACCCCCTGTCCCTCGTCTTTGCTCACGCACTCGAGTGCGACCACCGATTCAATTGGGATGGCACTGAGGTCGTCGCCATTGCTAACACAAAACGGGCGATAGAATTTCTCGAGGCTTGGTACTCCAATGCTGGTAGTATCAACCGCCATGTTGACCTGGAGGCCCATTACGAGAGCCTACGCTCACGACTTACTGCCCCCTTCCCCAATGCCACATCAACCGCCGCTAATCTGGCCACCCGGAGTCCAATTGATCCACCCTCCCCCTCCGGCACAGGTATCCGTAATTGTTCCGCCTCCCCCTCCCTCCCGCCTCGCTCAGAGACCTACCATGACTTTGTGACCATCCCTCTCATAGGCCAATAGTCTGTCTGTCCTGTCGCGCAAACTAGTCCAGTGTGACAAACTAACTTCCTCCCTTGTTTTCATTTCGTCTGACGACGGGTTGGTGTCAACAGCTCGAAAATTTACGAGTACAACTCGATTTTCCGAACAATCTCTTCCTGTTTTCATTATATCTGCTCGGAATGCATACCACCTCTGATCTACATATATATATATATATATATTTATGATAGTGGGCGCTCATCGATCAGGTTACGGAACATGCTTGTTCCGTTGTGCCTTGGGGCTCATACAAGAACCCTCGCAGGCAGTCGCACAGCGACTAGTAGAATGATGTTAATAAGGTGGTACGGACAAAGACAAGGGAGACCGGAATGGCCATTTCTGGCTTATTAGCCGTCATCAGTCAGTCATACCCACTATCATAATTAATATTCCCGATCACAACCGACAGGACAACGGGCCTGTGGCTCAATCGTAGAGCGTCAAACTCCATGGCCAAAGATCCCGGGTTCGAATCTCAAGTGATCCACACTTGGTGTTGAGTATGACTGGATGATGACAACTAATAAGCCAGAAATGGCCATTCCGGTCTCCCTTGTCTTTGTCGGTACCACCTGATTTATATATATATATATATATATATATATATGAGAAGAAGAGGCGATCTCGGGAACCATGATAGTATTGTCCTGACGTTTCAAAAGTAGAAAAACTTTCATCGTCGGAGGTAGTATCGTACGACATCACACAACATTTATAGGAGGGGGATAGATATCAGTAATGCTAACACGATGTTAATTATACGGGGAGTGGGCAGAGGGAAGCAATCAAGACTAGCAACCCAGCACGACAATAAAGGTCAACGCGAATGCGGGCGATGGCCACCAACGTTCAAATGCCGCCCGCCGACAAGAGACAGGCAGAATTACAGCAGTCACCCTCCCCCCCGGCTCTGCCCCGACGACTACAGAGACGATCCCTGTGCGTATGCGGACCATTAGCGCCAAAGCCGATTAACCACTCCCCCCCTTATAATTACCATCGTGTTAGCATGACTGATATCTATCCCCCTCCTATAAATACTGTGTGATGCCGTACGATAATCACATCTGACGATGAAAGCTCGTCCTAGGCTGGCAATCATGTTTGCCACCTCACAGCCACTTGTGTTCTCACCTGCTGAATGATTGGCAGTGATGAAAGCACCTTTATCGGGTCCATTAGCGTTGCAGTGATCGTTCGTCCTCACACCTGTCGGAGAAGTGGACGACGCGGCTGTAGTGACGATCGCAGCTTCGTCAGATTCTGGTTGTAGTACAGCTGTACGTGTGTCCCCTACGGACTCGGCCGTACTTGAGTTTCTGTCTTGTCGCAGCCTGCCTCTGCTCTTCTGTTCACTACCATGCTGCCGCATATTAGTACTCACGCCCCCCCCCCTTCATCAAGGATCGTTGCATATGGTGTGATGGCTGTTTGATGGCCGACATTTGCAGCGTTAATTGCTTTAATCACATCACGTGCGTTGATGTTCGTGTGATGATTGCTCGACCATCTGACACACCGACCCTGGCGTTGGGAATAGTGTTCACCCGTGCTTTCTTCGCGTGGCCAATTACTCCGTCTAGGCGAAGTCTCAGCACCGAGTATGGAAGGGGAATGTCATTGCACTTGCTAATGAAATAAGGACCAGTAAACCATGACTCAAGCAGCTCCCGGCTCACGCGGTTGTCACCTCTTGCGAGAATTTCGGCCTCGTCGAATTTGAATGTGTGGTCGGATCTCGTCGAATGGGCCACAGCTTGATAGCTGACGTCATTTCTCCACACCGCTGCAGCGTGTTCGGCCATTCATGTTCGGAGCAGTCTTTCGGTCACATCGGTGTAGTTGCTTTGTCCGCAGTTGCACCAGATCTGATAAACGACTCCAGCCGCTTCTTGCCGTGTGAACGGGTCTTTCGGTTTCATTACGAGACGCCCGATGGTTTCCTCCGGTCTGTGTGCAACTCCAAATCCAAATGGCGCGAGCAGGCGGCCGACAGTTTCCGAAACGTTTTTGACATACGAAGTGCTCGCAAAAATTTGGTGTCCGTGTGCTTTAGCTTTTCGTCCCTTTTGCGTACGCATCCGTGGACGAAGTTGCGCGGGTAGCCATTTTCTTTAAAGACCCGTGGTAGGTAATTTAGTTCGACAATCCTGTCTTCCGTCTCACTGCAGAGCGTTTGGAAACGCCGATTTAGCGTCCTTACACAACAGCGTTTTTGTGCTGATTCGGTGGATGTTGTTGAAGTTCAGTGCTTGCATCGTTTTTGACGCTTTCCTGAACACTTTGGCCTTCAGTCCACCACAATCCTTGCAACATAAGAGGACATCCAGGAAGGCCAGCTGATTTTCCTTTTCCTCCACCATCCTTAATTTTATGTCCGGATTGACGGCATTCAAATGTTCCTTGAATGTCAGCAGTTGTTCCCGGTTGATAACGACGAAGGTATCATCCAAATGTCGTCCCAGGACTGTTGCAGTCCTTCAGGAGCTGAAGGATTTATGCCTGTCCTAGACGATTCTCTGTTTCATCGTATTTGCTTTGTATAAGCGACAAGTACGACGTGACGGGCGAAAGCGTGAAACGGAGACATCTCATTCAACTGTTAAATTTCTGCCTGAAGACGTTCTTTACGTTCGAAGGGAGAGTATATAAACAGATCAAGGGGACACCCATGGGATCACCGCTTTCGGGCTTCAGACTAGTTTTGACTTTCAGCTTTTTACCGCCAAGAGTAACGTTCGAAAACCGTAGGATGTAGAACCCCACATAGCTTGGAGTGGCATGTGGATCACGTCATATGAGAATGAGCAGGCAGAATGCAAAGAAACACAGAAAATAATTAAATTTCTGTCGAAAGTCTTTTCTTGCGTTGGCATATGGCAAACAAGGTGAGCAAGATAATTAAAAATTAAAGGGAAGTAAATTATCTGTCACAGCAAAGTTTATATTTAGTCAGGAATTCAAGAAAAATGATGATTGGGTATAGGATACCATGTAGCTGTCGTATACAACACGGTCCTCAGGTTAACACAAATTAATTTGGGTCCCACACGTTACCGTCGCCCTACGAGCGCACTATTTCCAGTGATTTTGGTCACACAAATTGCCCAAATTGGCTGAATGCTGTTCGCAGAACTTCTATCAGAAGCGGCAAGTACAAATTAAAACTATAAAGTGGAAAATTACAACTAGGTAACAAAAAGGTATTGGATTTGCTTAAACACAAAGGAACCATCTGTTGCGAACTCACGATTAAATTGCAAATTAGCCACGTCAATGCCTTTTATCCAAGTTTCTGACTGAGACCAATTGTTAACGGGTTCAGTTGCGATTGCGGATTGCCATGTACGATTTATAGCGCTAGGCTTACAATAAAAACCCTTTTCTGATGTTAAAATATGCGTTGTTTCTTCACACACTGATAGTTGAGGCAGATACGAGGGGAAAGTTCATTGTTCTATTTACAGGACGCATGGAAAATACGACTTTGGAATACACCTTTAAGTTTGGCGCAAGTACCTATGACCTGGTAAAGGTTGTATCTATTGAAGGAGAGACGCCCCTACGAGTGTTTCGCGTTCCAATTAACTATGCGCTGCCTCTCTACATCTGTAAATTCCTAATATTCAGTTGCTCATCCATCTCTTTTTTGGCCTTTGTTTGAAAGAGAACTTTAAAGAAAATAAGTAAAGTCGTTTTGTCGACGTTTAGTCTTCCTGTCTTCCGTTTTTGCGAAAAGGAAAACCACCGATCAGGGTTTGCTGTTATTTATAATCTGTGTGCTCTACTAACCCCACCGGTATTGACATGTGTAAAAAAGGCTTTCGTCGTGGATTGCTCAATGATATCGTCTAGGTATACGGTGTTAGAGTTGATTTTAGATGCAATACTATTAAGGAACGCCTTTGAGGACTTATCACATACATGCCCTACTAAAGAGGAAAAAATGATTCGTGATGATTTTTTCATAATTACTCAAAAGTCGGTGTATGGGAGTTTGCAAATTTGGAGGAAAACATTTCACGTTTTTCGTGTCCATGTAGTTTCCGAATGGTTTATGTACCCAAAACGTCATAATAGTACTCAGATCAGTTGTATGGGAATTAACAATTGTGGATGAAAACATTTCACGTTTTTCGTGTCCTTGTAGTTTCCGAGAGGTTTGCGTACTCAAAACGTCACAATAATCATGGCCAAACATTCGAATAAAATCCAAATTCCTAAAAACTCAGTAGTTTGCAACTGCATGGCGGTTTAGACTGACATCTATTGACGCATATGTATTTTTTCTAGAAGATTAAGAAGTGTAAAATAGTAAGAGGGTTTGTAAGGAGTGCTTGATGGAGTTCGATGTACGTACCGCGCTCTTCTTGACTTCAACAACTTTACCTCGTGTCAGGACAAAGTCAGGACAGTCGGGAGTCGAGGTATACTATCTGCTAGTAGCCTTTCAGATAACTCTTTTAGCGCGCCGTGAAAGCTGAAAAGCGCGTTTGACTGTTTATAGCCAGAACTACGCAATCAGTGTGGGGAAAACAGAGTTCCCAGACGCTTCCTCACTCTGTTTCCTCTCCAAGACAACAAAACAACATCCTAGCGGGTCGGCCACTCAATAAGGGGATTGGATACAGTGGCTGGCGGCAGGAACGAGCCCGTCGGAGTGTGTCACGTATGACCTGACTCCACAGAAGAGCTCACCCGGTTTTCGCAAAAAAGGGCACCCGGCTGAAATCTCACATGTGTTAGTCCTCTTGGGGTCCAAGGAGCCAGATAGACCCACACACGCAGTCCAAAAGTTAGTACATAAACCCGCAAACACACACAGAGGTCAGACCGCGAGATCGGAGTTAGACCGTCATTTGGCAACCCACCAAACCACGGCGTTTAGTTCGTCGTGATCGGATTAGATCAATTAGTGTGAAGTGTTCATTAAAATCGTATTTGGCTAGTTGGCCTCCTCCCCCGATCCCCCCCCC